TGTGACTCTGTTTCATAGGCTTTATGGGAGCAGTCCCCTTTTCCACCTTCTCAGTTCCTGGTTTGAGCTTCCCAAGCCATTTGTTTCGAAGTGGGGCTGGAGGAGCACCTTGAGCAGATGAGCATGGCCTACCTGCCACATCCCTGTCCTGGAGCCAAGCAGGATGGTCTTCAGGGTGTCTCCAGTGTGCTGAAATGTAGTGGGGACATGGTTCTCCCCTCTGGAAGGGCATTTTTGAGGACACAACCCTTCATCTCTGGAGGATAAAAACTCAGACACAAAGCTGGTGTGGGTCTGCTAGGAATTGCAGCCACTTTGATGGATCATGAGGCCGGATGAAGGGCTGTCTTATTCCTCATGCCCCATGGCTGTGTGGGTGCAAGCGAGTGTTGGTGGAGCTGTCCCCATGTGCTGGGGGAGCACAGCAGACCTGCCCTCCTGGGGAGCCACTCTGAGCCAGGGCTACCTTTGGGACTGGCAATCATCATTTAATAGCTGTCTTTAAATTCCCACTCTGCCAGCCATCTATCTTCCCTCAGCAGGATAATATAGGGAGGCATTTATGCATTTGACTGATGGGCAACAGACGCTGCCAAGTGTTTCCTTGCCTGGAGTCACTCCAGCGATGAAGAGGTTTTGTCTCCTTCCATGTCCTCTGCATGGTTATAGGTCTCCAGCCCACATGCCATGCCCTTAACAAACCAAGAAATCCTCCTGCACAACATGAAAAGGAAGAGGATGATCCAATCCCGGATCTGATTGATGTGCCCACTCTCCCATTGCACCGGGAGCTGCTGCGAGCACCATGTGTGGTTGCAAGGCTCTGGAGACATTCCCAGAGGTGGGGGGCAGGCAGAGGAGGTTTCCCACTTGTTTTTCAAGCAGTCTTTGTTAAAACTGGTCACGGCAGGCTGCACCTCCTGCTGCCCAGGCGGTTTTGCGGTTCATTGGGCGGGCAGTGAGCGCAGAGCCGAGAGGGTGAGCACAGCCCTGTGTGTTGCACCCCCTCAGTGTGCACCCAGATAAATGCAGGGGCCTGCCTTTAACCTGCTCATCAGCAGGTTGCCTTTGGCAAAGTCCTCTGAGCTTGGGAGTCTAGGGCAGGCAGGTGGCCAAGAGTGGTGTGGCCATGGCTGATCCATCCTGGCACCTTTGGGCACCTCTTTGGGACAGTGGGGTTTACTGCTGAAGGTGTCTTGCAGTGCTGGTGCAGGGGCAGGAGGACTCTTTTGAATGCCAGAGGAAAGCAGGAATCAATCCAGTTTTCAACAGCCACGTATTTCCGTGGCATCTTTCTAGGCTCAGGGCTGTTTCTTACATTCTTGGATAATGAAGTTTGGGGTTTGTTTTTCTTTTCTTTCAAGCTCGACAAAGCCAATTTGATGCAGTTTGAAAAGAAATTGAAAACAGACTTCTCTGCTTCAAATTCTGCCAAGGTTCAAGCATCCTGGGAATACAATGTCAAGGATAACCCTCCCACACCTCACCCCCAACTAGACTTAGAAAGTTTTATTTCCTAGAATTTAAAGCTACACAGCTCTCCACTGTGCCATAGAGCCTGGGCTGTGCTGTATGTCCCTCTGATGAGTGAGAATATATATTATTTGCTTATTGGCATCCTGGAACAAGTAGTACCTCTCTAAGCCTTTTTATGGATTTTGCCTGCTGGGAAAAGGACCTAATTTCTGGCGAAGACCTGCTGTACTGTCAGTATGTCAGCCTGGCAAAGCAGAGCTGTACATATGGTTTGCATCTTGGGCTGTATCAAAGCCACAGCTTAAACTGCAGCATTTTTTTACAGCATGGACTCAGAGAAAGACTGTTTGGAAAAGTATTTACCCTGGGCTTGTAAACACAGCATTATTTCTGCAATGCTTTATCACCTAGGTTATTATTAAATTTGCAATATCAACCACCAGAAATAACACAGAGACTGTACTTGCACCTTTTTTGCTTCTTTTTATTGTTGATGTGGCAGGGAAAGCCTGAACGGTGCTGGGGAAGGGAGCCTGCACTGGCCCTTGCCCAGCTTCACAGCCCAGGGTTTTGGGTTTAGGGTGGGAAAGCAATGGGCTTTAACTTGTGATGCACAAACCCGAGCTCACTGACAAAGAAGACAAAGTGGGTTTGGACAATAGTGATTCCTTAACCACTTGGACTGTAAACTTACTTGACATTAAAAACCCAGCAATTGTTGCCATCCATTTGGCATACTCTGTTCTCTGGCTGTGGGTTAAAAAGGATTTTTCCTGCAGTGCTTTGAAGGTTCTCCATGTGGCTCCTCCATGCATTCTCCCCCCAGGATACTGGAAATTTTGGCAGACAGGCTTTTTAAATACCCAGAGATGGTATAAGCAACCAGAGGGTTATTATCAGCTGGATAACAAAAACAATCACCCTGAGAATCCTCTGAGCTGAAGAAAAGGATTACAGGGGTTTTTGGTGAGAGTGGGATGGGCTGTGTCTCTCCAGAAGGGTGGGACAGGGGAGGTGCTGGGAAAACATGCCCAAGAAAGCACAGATTGGGAAGGGACTTCGCTCAATGCAGATGGGAATACTGAGATTTACAGTTAGCCCTATCCTTTGGGATTGATTCCATAGATATAACTGCTGTTAATTCAGCATACTTTGAGGCCAGAGGAACAGATTGTGAGGCACTTACAGTGATGATTTGAAAGGAGTATGGGTATCAGGATACCATAATCGACCCTTTATATGCGACAGAGTTATTTTACTGCAGTTCAACTAGGATTTAGACATTGCACCTCCCCTAAACTCTTGCTCAGGAGGCCAGACGTGGATTGCAGGTGTTTGGAAAAGAATGTGTGTCTGTGCTCTGCAGAATTTGCTTGCAATCTGGGGCACGAAGGTTTTGAGTATCTGAGCTCGGGTGTTGCCTGTGTCACTTGGCATTGGCTGTGGTTCCACAGCAAATCATTATCCCATCCAAGTAGGAAAGAGCTGGGATCACAACCAGCTGCTGACAGAAGTCCTGCTGCCCCTCAGGGTGCTTAGGGGTGCTCACACTCATCCTCTCCCCAGAGAGGCACCTAAGACAATGATTTAACCAATGATTTAACCATGTAGTTTGATGCCTGGGACAGTTAATGCCAAGCCTTGAATAACCCTGCTGGTGTTATGGGACAGGACATCTTTCTCTGGACAGTCTCACCCTGGACTAGGTCCTTTCCACTCTGGGAAGAGATAAAGCAGAGGTCCCCTGGCAGGTCCCAACGACCTGTTCCAGGCAGCCCCTGGTTCCTGGCAGAGGCTGGTGTAAACCCTGTCTCAAAAAAAGCATTCGGCCCAGCAGATATATTTTGCTGCACTACATTGTGTTTCTGGGAGAGAAGCAATTAAGTGAGAGCTATAAAGGTGAATCACTCCAAGTGCACCATCAATAGCTCTTACAAACTGCATTAAATCTGCTCAATCCTTGAAAGGGAGGCATAGAAGGAACACCCCTATGGCTGCAGCCAGTGAGTCGGTGGCTCCTCTTACCCACCTCAGCTGATGTAGTGTCTTTGCAAGGGGTGTGCTTCTCACCAGGGGGCTGTCTGAAGCAGTCTCCCCAAGCTGAGGACATGAAACCTGATGGATTTGAGGATAGTGCTGTGTCAGCTCATAAGCTCGTGCACTGGGGTTGCCTGGGGCAGCTGCTCACGGTGCAGGAGTTGTGCTGGTGATGGGTCCCTGTGGTCAGTGGGAGCCTGTGGTCCTAAAAGCCCCATAGCTGGAAATGCTTTTGCTTGCCAGCTGCTTTCTGGAAGTAATTCTGTCTGCTGGCTCTCACCTCCCCAGCTTTAGAGCTCTTTTTTTCAAGCTTTTCCTCTTATAAACAGTCTCTTATCCCTTCTTTGGCAATATATTGTCCTGCTGTGTCTGCCATGGATATGTTTGTGCTTCCAAAATAAATAATTGGAGAAAAATCTATCCTCTTGACCATTGCCTCGACTTCCAATGTGGGTTTGAGCTGCTTGGAAATGTCTGTTGAAAGCAGAGAAATGGGGCCAAGGTGCTTTTTGTGCCTCCAGCCTCCTGAAGTGTGTGAGGCTGCCCTCACAAGTGTGTGAGGCTGCCCATTCCTGAATGAATGAGGCATGGGTGCAGCATGGTCCAGGGACTGGATTGGCTTGGAGAATGTCAGCCATCTGCCAGGGATGCCAGCTTATCTGAGCAACCTGTTCCAATGCCTCAACACTCTCACAGCTAAGAATTTTTTCCTAATATCTAATCTGAACCTCTCTTTCAGTTTAAAGTCCTTTTCCCTTGTCCTGTCACTCCACATCCTTGTAAAAAATTCCTCTCCAGCTCTCTTGTGAGTCCCTTTAGGCACAGGAAGGTGCTGTAAGTTCTCCCCAGAGCCTTCTCTTCTCCAGTCTGAATAACCCTGGTTCTCTCAGCCTGTCTTCATAGGAGAGGTGTCTGGCCTTCCAGGAGTTTGTACCCTTTTTTTAAAAACACAGCCAGTCACAGGTCCTGACTGACACTAAGAGCTACCTAGCTTTTGCCAGATACAGTGATGGGCAGAGCTCCAGAAGCCTTGTCTCAGCACACATTGAGATATCTAAATTATGGGTTCAGTGTGCAACCAGAATAGGAGCCAGTGAGGGTCCCCAGAGTAAGGTCTGAGAAGTAAAACCTCTTAGGAACTGGAAAGTGTTCACATCTAGACAGAAATTTGCTCTGGTTTGGTTTGTTTTATTTTAATTTCTTGAGTCTTTAACGTGAACTATTTGACCATGAGAAATTCATTGCCCATAAGGTCATCCTCTACCTCAGCGCTGCAGATATGGCAGCTTCTGTGTGGGGAGTGAGCCCTTGCTCTGATTTGCTTCTGAGGGGACCGCAGCTAAATTCTGGCACAAATCATGGCACATCCACGACCCTCCTGCCACAGTGGAATAACAAGCAGAGGGGCTGCTTCTCCAAAGCAAACCCTACCGAGGGCTCTGCCTGCAGTAGCACTCCAGCATCATTCCACCTTTCTGTCCCCGCAGGCCCAGCGACCGTGGCGAAGGATGGGGATGAAGCCCCCAGCCCCAGCAGCTGTCGGGGTGCTGCTGGCCCTGGCCCTGCTGGCTCTCATCCACCTGCCCCCACCACCGGACCAGTCCCTGCTCCCGCTGCCGGCCTCGTCCCCCCCAGGGCCCCCGAGGGAGGTGGCTGCCCCCCTGTCTGGAGGACAAGCCTACAGAAGAAGGCGCCCCATGCCCCGCGCTCACCTGCAGCAGGAGCAGGCTCCTGGCTGGAGCAGGAGGCAGAGGAGGCTGGAGAGGGACATTCCCCCTTGGCTCTCTGCTGATGACCTCCAGAAGATGTGGCTGCTGTCCAGTGGGCAGGTGGTCTCCAAAACCCGTGTTCCTGCCCACGGGCAGATCATGCGAGTGAGGCTGCGTGCCGTGGGGGATGCCAAGGGAGATGCCAAGGGGGATGTCTTGCCAGCCAGCCCGGAAGGAGACTGCCAGGATGGGTGCTGTGGGCTCATCAAGCGCCCTGGGGACCTGTACGAGGTGCTGGCCTTCCACCTGGACAGGGTGCTGGGGCTGAACCGCAGCCTGCCCGCCGTGGCCCGGCGCTTCACCAGCCACCTCCTGCCCTACAGCTACACCGATGGTGCCCTGCGCCCCATCATCTGGTGGGCTCCTGACCTCCAGCACCTGGAGGATGCCAACAATGACCAGAACTCCTGTGTCCTGGGATGGCTGCAGTACCAGGAGATGCTGCAGCCCCGCAGACCAATGCTGGTGGCCAGGGACACTCCCTGCTCCAGCATCCCACACAGCGAGTGGAGCCGCCTGGCCCTCTTTGACTTTCTTCTCCAGGTAGGTGATTGAGGCCGCCTGTTCCATCAGCTGTGGCACCCGGGTTCCCCTGCACCTGCACCTATATTGCCTGACCACGGTCTCCTGCTGCTCTGCAGGGTCACATCAGCTGTAGTTTCTTGGGATGTATTTTCACTCTTCAGCTGATGGGGAGCAGCAGAACTTTGTGCAGAGCACTTTGGCCTGAGTATGGTCCGTGTTTGGGACTTGCAGGGGAAACGCAGGCAGGTTGTGGTGAGTGTGTCCTCATGTGGGCGAGCTTTCTGCTGTTCATTTTCTGCTGGCAGAGGCCTGGGACATCCCTAAAAGAGACATCCCTAGGGTATCCGTAGGAATAAGCAGCATATCTTGCACCAGCCCCATCACATCCAAACTCTGGGATGTGCTGCTGGCATTGGAAATAAGGAGCCATGCCTTGGACAGCACTGCCTTCCTCCTCCTCGGCATTAACAGCACTTAATCTTCTGTCTGGAAAATCATACCCTGCTGCTACGAGGGATTACAACAGTATCCCAGAGAGTTACCAGGTCTTGGAGGGCAGCTGTGAGGAGGCAAAAGTGATTTCTGTGGAGAAAAAGAGAGCCTGTTTAGGCACCTGGGGGCTGATTATAAGACAAGAGAAAACTGCCTGAAAGGACAGGTATTAATACAAATAAAAGAAAAAAAGGAAGAAATTTAAAACCCCCAAACTACTAAAATATGTTTTCCTTATTCTTTCTCCTTTTTTTTTTTTTTTTTTTACAACTATGACTGGCAGAGGTGGAGCAGTTCTGTCTGGGCTTGAAAATATTTTAGCTGAAGCAGCCAGAGAAATGAGATGATTAACTGATCCCCTTCCCTTCCCTGAGCCAAAATACCGCTGAGTGCAGTGGAAAGGCTGAGACTGCAGGAGAAAGTATCTAGTTCTAAGGAGAGTTCCTCCTCAAGGGCTGAAGCAGTGCAATGATAAATTCAAGGGCAATCCACAGGTTCTTCTCAATAATTCTAATGGAATCCTCCCATGCAGACCAAGTCACATAAAGGTAAAGAGGGTATTATAGAAGTGGATTAGCATCTTTCAGAAATGGCTTTAGCATCCCACAGCCTTGCTGGGGAAGGAGAAGTTGGTGAGATTTGAGCCCTGTTGTACATTGCAATTGAAATCTTGGTAGTTTTCTTCAATTTCTCTTAAAATTTGTCTTTTTCTATGTTAATTTCTATTTGTATTTGCCGTAAGGGAAAACCCCACTATGTGCAAAGTTTTAGTGGGGGCAAAATGCCAAGGCTGGTAGAAAAGAGGCAGCTGCTGATGGCTTTGTCCTGCACTTAAAGACAGAGAAAACCAAATCAACTCTGCAGCCACATCCCTGCCCTGGGACACCTTCTTCCCAGCCAGGGGGAGAGAAAGAAAACTTTCCCTAGGGGAAGCTGTCCCAGGCTGAATCATAACTGGAAAAACCTATCAGACACAAGGGGATGCCTCAGGATGGTCACAAGAGGGGCTGAAGGTGAGCTTCTGGTAATGTTTGAGCTTGGATGGGATAAAGTGTAGTTCATGTATTTGTGTTCTAGCAATAATACCAAAATTCCCATGAATTAGAGCTGTTTAGGCTCTGGAAGGAAGAAATTAATACCAAAAAGTCAGGGGAGGGCCAGGGGAGGGAGGGCTTGTCAGCATGTCAGGGCATTCTCTGCATCTCCACAGCCATCTGGTCCCTCTCCTGGGGCTCCACTTAGACACCAGATCTGCCTCCACCTCACACCTCTGCGGGCTCAGCACCAATCCACCTTGGTTTCACAGGTGCTTGTGGGCGGGTGAGTGGAGCGCTGAACCTATTTAATGTCTCTGTAAGTTCTCTCAGGTTGTCTTCACCTTCTGTGCAGCCTGCAAAACAACATAGCAGGTGAGAGAAACTGGTGTGCTGAGCTCTCCAGTAGGCAGACCGAGGAGATGCATGGAGGAAATGTGATATTTTCTTCTACTTCCATGTGTTTTGTGACAAGATGCTCAAGCACATTTTAGCCAGAGTGTCTCCCAATGGAGGCATACTGACCTGAGTTCTTCATTAAGCCTCAGAAAACAGAGGGGATTGAGAGGCTTCAGTGTGGGACTAATCCTCTTCTCACAGGGTTATGAATGGAATGGCCATGGAGATCACAATTCGTGTTTCCCTGCAGCATCTTCTCCAGTGCTTGGTCAGCGTTTGGTTCAGACTGAACTCCGTGGCAAAGCACAGCCCGTAATTGATAGCTTGTGCTAATTACCACGGTGAAGGGAACAGGCAGCCTCAGTGGGTCACTTGGCTTCTGTCTCATTGTCACCTGTAGACCCCTTATGGATCACCTGAGACCTGCACCAGCCCTCCCAGTGGCTCCAGGAGCCACTCTGCACCCCGAGCTCTGCCTCCTGGGCTGGCACTAGCAGTGCGGAGCAAATCAGCGAGTCAGACATTTTCATGCTGCAACCAGAAAATATATTTATTTTGTACTTTATATATTTTTAATATATATTTCATATATATTTAAAGGAACATATATATACATGGGTTTTTTTTGTAAACAGGCCTCAAGATCGGGAGGAGGTGAGGCAGCTCCCCTACATGTCAACACATGTCATGTCAACACACAGACAAGTCTGTTGACAGCCAAGGTCCTGTCTGCCCCACAAATCACCCCAGAGGATATACCAGTTGCTTCTGACAAAGCTGAGGAAGCTCCATAAATACTGAGGCCAGGTCTGGCAGAGATTTATGTCTTTTAAAAGCCCTTCATCCCTCCAAGAGTGTGGTTGAAGCACTGGAAGTTGTCAAGCAGCTCCAGGTTTTCTGCAGGGAACTGGGATGGGAAGCAGGAGGTTTGACAGCCTGGACAACATGGAGCCTTAGCAGCACCTGCAAATGATTAAACACAAATGTAGCTGAAACAAGTCACTGTGGCCCTACTTAAATGTCAGGCATGCTCTGCATATTCACGGACTGCTTTTTCCCTTGCTGATACTTTTCCATTCATCTTTCCATTGAGAGCTGCTCAGGTTACCATAGGGATGGATGAAAGGTTGCACATGTGACAGCAACCTGATGAAACCGTCATACAGAGCATCAGGACTTGGAAAAATAAATTATTTTTGAGGTTTCAGACTCTAGGTTTCCTTGGGTGCTTTGTTGGGTTTTTTTTTTATTAATTCATCATTGTGTACGTCTTCCCTTCATTGCAGCTGGAAGCACAACCCCTTCAGTCTGTGCAGATACACAATGTGGAGGTACCAGGGGTCTGAATTCTATCAGAAAAGCATGTCACAATAACCTTTGTCATCACCTTCTTCATGCCAAAGAGGTTTTGCATGTGTGCTTCCATTCCTCTCATTCACCAGTGTATGCAGCTTTTCCATCTTGCATCTCCTGAGGATGCCTAGAAATATTTAATTTTCCTCTGTACAAGAACAGCTCACAACAGGACCTCCCTGTCCCAGGCACATGTCCCTGTTAAGATCCTCAAATGTCTCCTGCAGGTTCATGACCGCCTGGACCGCTACTGTTGTGGGTTTCAGCCTGATCCCTCTGAGCCCTGCGTGGAGGAAATGCTCCACGAGAAGTGCCGGAATCCAGCAGAGCTGGTCCTGGTCCACATCCTGGTATGTCTCCCTGCTGTCCAAGGCCTGCTCTGGGGCTAACATGGAGGTGCCTGGGAGGCACTTGCAGGACTGAGGTGGTAGCAAAGGGAATGTAGGTCCCTTGGTGATGCTAGGTCCCTGGTGGGAGGTATGCCCAGGCACGGAGGGACATAGACATTGTCATCTGTGTTCCCCCAAATACTCTTAGGCTTTCTTACTGCATTAAAAAGCAGCCTAAAGCCCCACACTGGTAAAGCCCCACACTGGTGACTCCGCACTGAGTGAACTTTTCCTTGCCATCCTGCTGGCAGGTCCGGAGGAGTGCACCGTCCCGCCTGGTGTTCATCGACAACGCGGGCAGGCCACAGCACCCTGAGGAGAAGCTCAACTTCAGGCTCCTGCAAGGCATAGACAGGTAGGAATGTGCACGTGCTGGGCAAGGGCTGAGCTGGCACACAGGGGATGTTCCACAGCCGTGTGTGTGCTCGCCTTCTTGCTGCTTCTGGCCCCCTGATGGGGCATCCCTCTGAAGGGGGATGGATGTTCTGGATGTCCCCAGAACAGGGCGGCTGGCTAGGCTCTCAAAAACATCCCGTGTGTCCCTGCGCTGAAACTAACTCTTTATTCTTCTCTGGGTGGCTGATGGCAGGCTCCAAAGCCTATTTCCCCTCTGTAATTGGCAGCTGAACAAAAATAATGAGTAATCAGGTATTTCAGCATTTCTTGCGCCATTGCCCATGAGGCATTTTGGCATGCTAGAGGCATGATTTGGAACTTGGGTCTATCCTGCATGCTCACCATGGGTAGAGATTTAAGCAGAAGGCTCCTTGTCCTGTGTTCCTCTGGGAAGACGTGAATTTCCTCTTGAAGCATCTTTGCTCCAGTGCCCGACTGCTCCCTCCTTCTCTGCTGAGCTTTCCCTGGATAACCCCTTCTCTCCCTGTCTCTTCTGCTCCTCCACTGCAGCTTCCCAGCAGCGGCAGTGGCCACGCTGCGGTCGGGCAGATTGCAGAGCCTGCTGCTGCAGTCCCTGCGCCTGGACCGGCAGTTCTGGGAGAGCCAGGGGGGCGCCGAGGGGCTGAGACCCCTGCTCCAGACCATTGACAGGCGGGCACAAATCCTGCTCCGCCACATCCAAGAGCACAACCTGACGGTGTTTGAGGACTCGCCGCGCTGAACCAACCTCCGGCTGGCTCACGGTGCCTGCCTTGCTCACCCAGCAGCCGTGGATGTACCTCATGCCCTCGGCATGGACGTTATGAGGCTCCGTGCTGGTGCTTGGCTCTCCACAAAGGTGTTTCCCCTCACCTTGTAGGATGACTTGGAGAAGCAGATGGAACCACAGGGAATAAGGAAAGATGGGGAGGAGATGTCTCCTAAGACAACCCACAACTGCTTGAAAAAGGCAACAGTCATCAAGCTATGGTCTCAACGTGGATTTTCAAACGAAGGGCACATCTGTGAGGTTTTTTGGATGCCTTTACTCACACACACACAAACACACAGCAACTATGAAAACTGGAGTCTTGGACAGTTGAACGGCTGACAGGGACCCTGGAAAGAGTTAAAGAAGCAGTGGAAGAAGTCACTGGCAGCCTTTCCGTGGCTTGTACTGGGCTTTTTGATGATGCCTTCACTATTTCCAAAACATCCTGGACAGAGGCAGGGGGAAAACAGAGGGGAGCTTTCTAAGTGGATTGAACAAAGACAAGACATTAGAGGTGAGCTCTGCCTTTCCCCCTGCAGAAGAGGTGACGTGTGCCTGGGAGACTGTGAGCCACTGCCTGGAGCTGAGGCTAGGCAGGACCTTGAAGCTCAGCAGCACTGGGCAGCAGCTGCCCCCACATAGCCCATGGTACCATCCCCAGTGAGAGCCATGTGCTGTGTGCCATGTGCCGTGATCCATGCATGTGCCTTGGTGGGCCTGGGCTGCTGCCAATGCTCTCAATGTCAGATTTGAAGGTTTAAATCTCTCATTCACTCTTTGCCTTCACTGTCAGGGGATTAAAGGCATAACTACCCCACTTCTGAAAAGAACTCCTGGCTGCTCTCCTGGGCATGACTGCATGTAACTCATCCCCAGGCTTGCAGAAATATGTTTTAACAAAAATGCCAAGCTATTTTAGCAGAAGGCAGTCGGGTGTAAAATGCTTTCTGAGCATGCTGGCACCTCTGGCAGAGGCCATCCTGTCCCTGTCACCCCTCAGGCTCTTTCCCAGCAGCCCATTCTGATGAAGCACAGCAGCATCCCAGCTAGGCAGGTCCTCAAGTGTCAGGGCTGAGAGATAATTCAAAATCAAAATGAACAGGAGGAAAAGAGATGCAGGGATGGGCTCCATAATTCCCCACAGCGTGTTCCCAGCTGAGTCATGCAGTCAGTGTTTGCCTGGAGCAGTCAGTTCTTGGCCTGTGGGTTTTATGGTTTGCCATCAGAAGGCTTTTTAAAGGCCTCCGTTTCTCCAGTGTTACAGGCAGAGCATCCATTGCTTCAGGCACTCCAATTCACTTGTGCCTTTGGAAAGTCTCAGTGAGACTGGCATGGGTACCCAGCTGCACCATGGCGCAGCTGTCCCATTGCAATAGCTTTGGAGAACATGGTCACCCATGCAGTGGGAGAGGAAAGGCTGGGTATGGATCCCTTCCCTGCTCCATCCTTCTCAGCACTATGTCAGTTTGAGAATCTGCTTTAACACCCATGCTGATAAGCACAGACAATTACCTTTTTTTCCCTCTTGCTGAAGAGAGGGTGAAGCGAGACGTGGGTGACATGAATCAACAAGCAAGCACGAGTGCTCTCAGGAATCATCAGCAGTCAGCATCACAGGCACAGCAGCATCCAAAGTGCCATCAGCTTGTTCCTGGAGTCCTGCCCTCCAATTAGCCAGGGAGGGCCTTTCCCCCAGCACTCTCTCCACCCCATGAGTTATCACCCTATTTGCTATGCCATGAGATGGATCATGGTCATGGAAACCCTGCTAAAGCCAGAATTATAAGGATTTATTACTTGGAGATGAGCTTAGCTTGTGAGCTTGAAAGATAACAAAATAACTCATCTATCCTGGATCCTATGAAAAGCCATGTCCAGACTTTAGTAAAGGATACTAAATGTAACAAAATTAAATCCAAAAAATATGCTGGGAAAAACTGTGAGGTAGCAAGAGCATTAGTTACAATGAACAGCATCAGTCAGACTATTGCTTTATGTCATTGAAGTGAGAAATTTCATTAAAGGAGAGGTTTTCATCCCATGTAAGCCAAGTTCTCAGCAAGAATCAAGAGACAGTTGGGGATCTGTGCACTGGCCTAAGCTGTGGACATTGCTGAGCTGGACGAGCAGCTTTTGCCTTGCATCTGGTTGCATCTGTTCTACCTTAACATTGCACAAGGTAGTGGGGGTTTTTTGCATTTCTTTAGTTGTAATGTGAGTTTGCTGGCTAAACACATGTGGGAACATCTGTAAGTAGTTATACATGTGAATAAAAATCCCTCATGATTTAACAAAGAGCCATGTATGGATAAATGAGAGAAGCAAAAGCCAAGATCTTGCTGGGACTGATCATTAATCTTCTTTAATTAGTCCATTTTTCCATGGGCTTGCCATGTAACCAGCACAGGCTCTCAACCGTGGTCATGGCTGTTCAGAGAGATTCTGTGGCCTTGCTTGCGTCAGCCTTTACCATGTCGAGTTGGGTTCAGTTTGCTCCAGCTCTCAGCGTGTCGTATTTCCTATGACAAACTTACTGTTACGGTTGTAGCTACTTTATAGTTGGAAATACTCCTGTGGGGCCATGCTTGACAAACTAGATTTCATCTGAGCAGGGATGCTGTTTTACCAAATTTTACCGCACGTCATCACAGATCGTACTGGGCTGTGGTCGCAAAAAAAGATGGTCCAAGCTGGCTGCAGGATGGCTTTGTCTTTAAGAAGGCAGCAGCAGCAGCAGCTGGGAAAGACCAGCGGAGAGACAAGAGCTCCTTGATGGGGGAAGCTCTGCGGCACCCTCCTGGTCACCCTTGGCACCTTGGAATGTGCTCCAAGAACAGCATTTGGGAGCACAGGCACACACCTCCATGGAGCTCCACCCGGAGGGAACTGCTTCATTCTGCAGTGATCCCAGCTACACAATCTGTGTTTCACAGCTCTCTGGCTGTGCACAGCCTTTCAGCTGGCAGAAAATAGGGCTGGGGGCTGGAAGGCAGGGCCAGATTGGCTCCAAGCTGCCGAGCACATGCACTCACACGTGCAAACACGCACCGTGTCACTGCTCCTGTTCAGCCTGATCTTCACGCCCCAAAGCTGGTGATCCCTGGCACCCCCAGCACTCTGCTCCAGTGCTTTGCTGGCCTCACTCTCCATAAACTAAATGCCCATTTGCTGCACTTAAGGGCCACTTCTTGAGCTGGACACAGGACACTAAGTAACCTTTTCTGCAGCACCACATGGACCTTGCAGAGCAGCCCCGGCACTCACTGAACCCACCCAGTGGCCAGGGGTGACACCGGTGGGGTGGCACTTGGGGCTGAGATGATGAGCCACCCTTGTGCTTCCTTCCCCTTAAGGGTGGGTTGTCACAAGTGGCACTCAGAGACCCCACAGGGCGCTCTGCAAAACCCACCCAAACACACCCCTGTGTTTGGGAGCATCCCTGTGCTCTGCAAAACCCACCCAAATGCATCCCTGTGCTGCACAGGGGAAGCGTGGGCTGTCTGCTGCCTGAAAGGCACGAGCTAGCAAGTAAATCCAAATTCATTGTTAAATCTCTGTATATAAAAATAATCTGGCTTTTAGAAAGCAATTTATTTATTCTTTCAGTACGTACTTAAATATTTATGCGAAAAAGGGAAAAAAAAATTCTGCTCTAACATAGGATTATTGTAGCAATGGTCTTTGAGATTAATGGAAGTAAATTAGCCTAATGTTTTATTTACATCCAGAAAAGCAATAGATAAACTCTCCTTGTGATGGATTTTCTTCATTAGCTGGGCAAACGCCTAAGGTACAGCTCTTGACATTGTTTCTTCCACGTGGTTAGACAAACAGTTTATCAAAAGAGTATAAAATTGTCAGGAAAAGAAGCAGATTAATGGCCAGTAAAGTGGAGATCATTGAATTTATGATATAAGTAGCAGTATCACTGGAGCTCAAGAAATGGCTTATTAGATAAGCACCATGTACACACACAGGGAAGTGCTGAACCCTCCCTGGATCTGCTGCATTGTTGGCGGCTGCTTCCCAAATCCCAGTGGGGTGGTCTCCACACTGAAGCTTCACCTCCCTCCACCTTCCCTCCCTTTAGGTTTGGGTTTATTCTGTAACTCTCTCATTTGAGCATGAAAACATATTATTTCCTCTCAATTAAAAACTTAAGATTTCAGAGATAACTTTGTCTTCATGTCTGTGCTGATGTAACCATTTCTGCAACCTCTTTTGGCAATTTTGGCTGCTTTTACACCAGGGATAATCATGCTAATATCAACAACAGTAATGTACGGGTCCTATGATTCTTTGTAAAAAATCCCCCAGCATTAGCAGTTTATGGATCCCATATGGCTTCTGCAGCAATTACCACTGCAAGGATGATTACCTGCCAGATAAGGCAAATGGAAGAAAGGAGACAGGGAACCTGGGAGAAACTAAACATTCCTGGGGGTGGCAGAGGGGCTGTGTTTGTGGGTTCCTGAGATGTCTGCCCTGCCAGACATGGGCTCAAGTTTTCAAGCTTCAGAAGAGGGATTTTGGATACATTGACGACTAAAATCCATGAATTTATCTGGTGCCATGAATCTTGGTGTCCGAGTGCTGTCTCCAGCAGGTGGCATTGGCTCGACAGGCTGTCTTTTCCCAGGGCTTGCCAAGAGCGTCTTTAAAGTTTCATCTCTGGACTGGCAGATTTCAGGCTGCTAAAGCATCATTAAGTTCCTAATTCCTTTTCAGCCTAATCTGCCCAGCTGTACTTTATATCTCTTCATCAGCACCACGTTTTCTCCCCCATTTCTCTCTTTCCTACAAAAATCTAGATTTATGGAAGCATAGCATTGCTCCATGTTGCAAGCAAGACAGAGCACGCATGAAATGCCACAGCACCCAGGGCTCTTCCCACCCTAGTGTAGACCCAAATGTGGACCCAGGTGCGCAGCACCCACAGGATTTTTGAATTAAATGATGGTCAAGATCAGGAGATTTTCTCTAGTCCCTGGGATGGATTTTAAAAGGATACATCTCCTAGAGCTGTGTGCATCCAACTGGCACATAACACAAATCCGATCATGCTCTGGGGCTTTGAAATCCACTTGTAAGCAAGGCAGGCCAAAGATGGGAACAGCCTCTCCCAAACAGGAGTAGTTTTCTACCCCCCAGACTGTCACCATGGCATCCTTGGGAATTTCCCCGGGTTTTTTGCTTCGCTCCTGACTGAAGGACCAGCCTCACGTTTCCTCCTCTTCTGAACTGAGCCAGTTTTTATTCCCCTGGGCCACACCCAGCATCACTAATCCAAGAGGTGACGTGGGTGCAAAGGGGTTTCTTGCATCTGGCACCCTGGGGCCCTCCTGGGAGCCCCTGCTGCCAGCCACAGGCAAGGTGCTGCTTGTGCCCCCTTGCAATGCTGTCCCTCCAACTTCTGACCCTGGCTTGGGTTTGGATACCACATGAGCTTTTTTCCCCTCCTCAGCCCCTGTCCAAGTTAGTGGGCAGTCGGACTCACCATTTTACTTCCTTTCGGGATGGGAGGTTGTTGTTGCTGATGTCTCTGCATCACCAGGCAGAAGGGAGGCTCATGTGGCAGGAGAGTCAAGGACTGAGACATCAACTCTTTTGTTTCAGTCTGTGAGTTGTCTTGCCAATACCAGGAACTAGTATGTCAGTCTGCAGAGGTATTAACGCAGCAAATGGACTGCCTGGCCTTTCCCCAGCTGTCTGGAGGAGGCAGCATGTGGTGATGCCTTCAAGAAGCACCTGAAAGGGGTGGGTGAAGATTTTTTTCCCATTAGGTGCTCAGCCCTGGGAAAGCAAAGTGAAATTCTCTGTAGATTACAGTTCAATCCTATCCCCAGTCAAACCATATTAATATGGAGGGGTTTCAAACCAGGTGCAGGGAGGAGCCCAAGGAAAACTTGACCCTGCATAGAAATGGAACAGGATGTGCCCATGCAGGGGTATTTCCCTGGCAAGAGGTGAGCATGACTCCATCGTGGTTCTGGCCAGGCTCTCTGCTTGAGCAGGTGTGGTACCACCTCTTCCAGTCCTGCTTTTTGAGTGAATTTTGCTCCCTTGGATTTAATGTTTGGCTGTATCTAAGCAGGATGTATTTTTTATTGAGGATGAGGTGAGTGGATAGAGTGGTGCAGGCTACACTGTAAATGTTGCCATATTTTTGCATGGATTTGGTTTTAATTTCCCATTCTGGGCATCTGGGAAAGCTTGGAGTAAGCAAAGTGTGTTACATCCCAAGTCTCTTTATGTACATAAACAATTGGAGGTTTATTGCCTTGACCTTCCCTGAAACAAGTTCTTGGCTCCTCTGAGTTAAATCTTGGGGGGAAAAGGGATCCAATAAGCTGAGCTGCAGATTTGGGCTTCTAGGAAGCACATCTAGGTGCCAACAAGATACCAGGAGGCTGAGATTTGTCACAATTGGGACAAATATTTTTAAATGGCTTTTGTTCAGTTCACTGGGGTCTGCCAGCTCTGCTCCTTGCCAACAGTAAATAGTCTGGGAGCAGGGAATTGGTGACTATATTAAATTTAAGGCAATTCAGCATGGTTTTACTTGATTTGGAGTTGGGGGAGAGGTGGCACAACACCTCTGCACAGAATGGACAGGTTAGGTTTATTGTCTGAGCATGAAGCATGGCATTACGTGGAAAGAGCCATAATTAGGTGTTCAGGAAGAGTTCATCCTGCCCTTTTGAGTCGAAGCTGTAAACTAAGAGGGCAGAGATCAAAGATTTCCACCGAAGGCCAGAGCAGTTTGCTGAGGAGCTTAACTGAAGGGTTAAGTGCCTGTGTGGGGGCACCAAATCATCTGCAGCCTCTTCCTTGCCTTTATTTTTACTCTTCTTACAGAAATAGGAAACAACCAATGTGTGGGACATATCTCTACTTCAACTGAGCATGACCTTTTCAAGCCTGATCACAGTTCAAGAGGCGGGGGAGAAAAGCTCCAAAAAGGCACAGCCGTGCTTCTGTGGTGACAGCCACTGGGTGGGCAATGTGGCTTCACGTCCTGGGGCTCCCCTCCAGCCTGGCCCCACGCTGTGCACAGAAAATCTGCTCAGTCCTTCCCTGCCTCTCCCTCCTGGTGATGCTTTTGCACTCACCTTTCTAAAAGATTTCATCTTCCTGAGGCATTTTGATTGCTCTAGGTAGATGCTGCCCTTTTTTGCCTGCGGCGTTATCCCTGCCCTGCCCCGCCTGCTGGAGCTGCCTCTTGCACACTCCACAGAGCAGCCAGGCATTGTCCTCTGTTCTAATTGCTTTTGCCCACCTCCTGGCTTGCCCTCACATTAGCTTTAGGAGATGTGGGGCAGGGGAAGGACTTGAAAAAAGGGAACATTTGGGTGCTGAGAGGCAGGGGAAGGAGGGTAAGCAGGTACCTGCTGGCTTGGTGGGAGCAGATGCGTCAGTGCAGGCACCTGCATGGATACGGGCAATAATTTCTCTGCCTTTGCAGAGCTATGGCCTTGAAGTTTGCCTCTTTTATTCTGTAGGGACCACTGACTGCAGAAAACAGATGCCATCTGTCCACCGTGCCTTGTAAATCAGATTTTAATCATCTCAGGGAGAGGTCTGTCTCCAGCTGAGTGCTGCAAACACGGTCTGCAGGAGTTACTCTGCAAAATTTACATTTCTGAGATAGGTTAGTGATTAGGGCTCCAGCTTCATACCAGGGAGGCTGAAATCCAATTTCTTCCCCTCTCACAGATTTCCTGGCTGTGGGTGGAAAATAGCTTAGGCCATGCCTGAATTGATCAGGTAAGTGCAGATCTGTTTCTCACCTCCCAGCTGACCTCCCTCCCCACACGCTGACTCTGCAGCACATCTGCATCCAGCGTGGGCAGAGAGGCTCCCATAATGAAGGACACCACTGAGTCAGGACCAAGAGAGGCACCTCCAAGATCCAGTTTTGCTCCATGAAAACTGAAGCCATAGATTGCAGAGGTGCTGGTGTTGGAGTTGCTGTCTCCTCCAGCAGTGCCTGTTTCCCAGCAGCCACAGGCCTGCCTGGTGGATAACAAGTTTGTTCCAAGGGCTGCTGCAGTAGTTGCAGTGGGCAGTGGGGGAGAGAGCCAGGGAGGGACATGGCACAAGATCTGACTCTGGTCAGATCAGGCTGTCTGATCCGACAGCCCTTACACAGGTCTGTAAGGCAGACTGTGTGTTCCTACAGCAATAAAAGTGCACTACTGAGGATGCTCACAGGCACAGGTGAACTGTCCTTGTCCCTTTTTTCAAATCATTATATATTGCAAAATCATTGCAGGTATTACAGGGAGGCTGCAAAGCAACCTCTTTGTGAGTAAAGAATCAATAATTTGTTTTCTTCTTCCTTATATGAAAACAATACCATAATATCATGTTGGTTTATTAAAAAGGCAATACTCTCCAAGCACAAATAGCAAGGCTGATCACAGCCTGTCCATGGGGAGATACAGCTCTTTTGTGCACAGCCTCTGTGGACTTATTTTACAAAAAAGAGCTTAGCAAAGCCTCTAAAACCATGGTTATTTATTAGTTGGCATTGCCAAATTTTGACCCTGAGGAACTCACAGGGGCAGAGCAGATGGAGCCCAGCGTTACCTGCTGGAAGCTTTGAAACAAATCTCTGCCTCTTCTCCTCCATCCTCAAAAAGGAGATTTGCCAGGCAGGATGGCTCCTCACAGCTGTCTCAGGTCACTCATTTCTGCCATTTTACACAAAAGAAGTGCATCTTCCCAGACTGTGTATCATCACATCACAAGAGGGTGGTTACAGCAGTCATATCCTGGGACAAGTCAAGTCCTGTCAGCTCAGCAAAACCCAAATCTAATGGTTATAATGATGCTACCATTAATGTTTTGAATGTGATGCCATTAGAGTTTAAGTTCTTGCAAGGGTGCAGGAGAAGAAAGGTGCCTCCTGTCAGCATCTTCTGACATGCTGCAGAAGCAAACCTGTATCCTTGTTTCACACGAGTTGGGGCAGCCATCATTCATTTTGCACAAAATCTTTTTTTCCCCACCTCTGCAGTGCAGTGGAGATTGCAGCTGGGCCACACATTGATGAACTGGATGGGGTGAGGGCACAAAGGCAGCAAAGGCTTGTGTGGAAACCATTTAATGGGGAATCAGTAAAGGAAGTGCCCCCTTGTCCCTCACCTTCCTGCCCCTCACATACCCTCAGGGAGTTGTTCTGAATGGTATTTCCATGGAGGTGCTTTGCGTGGAGCTCTCTAAAGGTTTGGGCTGGGCTCATAAGGCTGGTATGAGATATCTGATGAGCAAGTTCTGGAACTAAGGGCATCAAAGCTTATTTGTAAAAATGGGATAATAAGGGTTAGTGTGGTACCCAGCTAATGGGGAAAGCCCAGGCTCCACTGCATAAGCCCCCCCACAGTGCTGGGATTCATTTTAATCAGCACTTAGATAGGAAGAGAAAATATTCCCCATTTTTTTTTCCTTAAAGATTAAATAATTCATTCAGCTAACACCCTAATGAGGCACCAACAGACATGTAAGGAATAAATATTTTAAAAATAATTAACTTAAACATTAAAAACCACCTCCATCTCTGTTCTGTGCATAGTGTTTGGGGAACTAGGCTGGAGTGGGGAGAAGGTGGAACAGCCCGGTTCCAGAACAGCAAAGGAGACTGCAGATTAAACCAAATCGTGAACTGGTTTCTAATGAGTCTGCTGCAGCTTTTCCAGGTGAATCAAAGAAATGAAAATCCTTGGGCCAAACAAGTATTTCCATTTAGGTCCTGTTGTCTTCCTATTCCCTAATCTTCCCCCCAAATCCTTATTCCTGATCCAGATGCTCAGCACAGTCTCAGTTATGAGGACACTGAGACTGAGGGAGTCACACCTATTTCCAGGTGAGGCTGTGTTATCTAGAGGATGTTGGAACCACCGCCTCACTGAAGCCCATGGAGCCCTCACCAAGGCTGGCTTTGTCCTTTATCCCTCCGAGAGATCTTTCACTTGTGGTCCTACTCACAATCACCATGATTTCTCCTTTCTTTCTTCCTCTGCAAAGGAAGAGAATATAAAGATTAAATTCCATTGAGAAATTAAAAAAATCATATGCCCCTTGAGACACAAAGTACAGCTAAATCCAACTCCTTGAGCAGGGAAACAGATTTTCTACATGTTGGGGGAAGTTTGGCAGATAGGAAAATATTTCTCAGCTGAACTCTCCCTCTGGTTTGGATTAATAGCTTGGGTCCAACTTCACTACTCCCATAACAAATAAATCTTGAACTATAACTAGCCCAAGAGAAGAAATAACTGCTGGATGTCTTTTCAATGCTGTATTTTTTTTTTTTTCCTCTGTAAAGCATTCCTCTTTTAAAAGTTCTCTGGCTCTTCACAGCTTATTTTTCTTGAATTTTATAGAGATGTAGGTACCAAACACATGCAGACAACTAAGCTTCCAGGTGGCAACATACACGAGACACATGTGGCAAAAAGTACAAGGCAAGATGTTCCCAGCAAAACAATGTTTAATTTACTGCTTGTGAATGATCCATGAGGAGACGCACCAAACATGTTTGGTGTTTTTTTTAACATATTCAGCTATTAGTCAAAATTATTTGACACTCTGCAAGACCCCACCACCAGTGTCCACAGCCCCTCTGTCACAGGCTTCTCCTGCACAAGGGGATGGAAGTTTGCATGCTTCTTTTCCCATGATTTTGGAATCTTCTCCAGCTCCAGAGAGCACCCTACATTGAGATTAAGTTGCCATTGTGTTGGAGCACTGGGGAAGTTATTAAACAAGAACTCAACGTATCATTTGCACTTCTCTTAAACTAATAAACAATAGATGTTCCTTCAAAGGTAAAGGAATAGCTAATAAAACACTCACAAGCTCTGTCTTTCAACCCCAATAAAATCCCAGCCAGAGGCCAAAGAAATCCTTAAACCCAAGCATTGACCTCGATGTTGAAATGTCAGTCCCCAAACGTGAGAGGAATATGTCCATTTCCTCAATGTGCCTAGGAAGAGCTAGAGTTTGAAGGGCTTAATCTTTCACTTTTGCTATCAGGTAGAACAAAATGTTTCACCTAAAACTTGTCATAAATCAGGTCTTTGAATGCCTGTAGAGAAGTCCTCAAGCAGTTCTCAGCTCCAGGTGTGGAATGATTTTGGACATACTTTTATCTCCATTTCAGCAAAACAGAAAAAAACATGTTCTACTCCACATTTTTTTTTTTTTTCAGTCTCCTCAAATGAAACCCTTAGTCAGGTGTCTTTTTTAAATCATTGCACTCTCTCTGAAGATGGGAGGAAAGAAAGTAAATGTGGAGAACAAAGGGGAACATAAGTAGCTGCAATGAGATAACCCTCTTGCATGTCAGAGGTCCTTTCTCTGGGTTTCAATTTTCAAGAGAGCTTGAAACACCTCAAGGAGGAAACAACTCTGATAAATGATGGGGAGCAAGGCCAGCACATCCACAGATTCTCCACAGTTCTTTGACTTGGCCAGGAAACAGTGGAAGAGGACAGGGAAGCTGCCACCAAATGCAGAGAGGCTTTAATTCCACTTTTGCAGAGTCCAAGAGCAAACTTCTGAGGTGGGAGGTGATGCACCAGCCCCATCCAGACCTGGCAAAGCCTGGCCTTACACTATTGGTGCAAGCCCGCCTGGTCCTTTCTCTGGCTTGCTGCTACTCTGCTGGCACCAGGGGAGCGGCTGATGAGAGCTGGCAGGAGCCTGGGCACATGTTTGAAAGCTGGAGAGAAACGGGAAAGATGTGGCATTAATTATGATGGCTTGGGACCAGCTGGAACTGTCAAACTGAGTTAACTGAGGAGAAAATGGCTCACAGATCAGGGATAGGGTGACCTGGTGGGCTTGGCAGGGGACACCAGATGAAAACCACCACCATGTGGCCAACCTCATGCTCTTTCCCAGCCTCAGCCCTGGAGCATCACCCTGGTGTCACCATGGATGCAGCCTGGATAATGGGAAAACAGAGTGGGCCCACTGTCAGCAGCATTTTCTTTTGAAGCCATGCCATCACATATAGGATCCCACTCTGGCAGATTTTGTTTAGCCTTCTTAGCTAAACTGGGAAATTATTTACCCTGAGCCACACCTCCAAGTGAACAATGGCAACTTTGTCTTGGTGGTGCCTGGTCTCAGGCAACTAAATCAAGCTCAGTGAAGCAGTTCAGAGCCTCATGGCTTGGTGTGCTGTAGGACCTTGGCTTCCAGTAGGCAGGATCTTGAAAGAAACACTCTACATCAAGGTCTGAAATATTTGGAGCTCTTGGCAGCTGGAGAACTGTGCTGGGGTAGCAGCAGGTGTACAGCAGGTGACCGTAGAGGTACCAGTGTGGTTATTTAAATGCTTTAAATGGAAACAGACAAAACATTTTAAAATAAATTGCACTGGGGTTATGCTTCTTGTTGCCTCTGCTTCAAGCTGCAGATTTGCAATCAGTTTGCATTTATGGATAGCTTACATTTTTAAAGCATTTCAAAACACGCATTTCCAGTCTGTTTAGATTTCGTAGAGAGGAACGGGCTCCCCTGTGAGTCAGGCAGCTTCAGAGTTAAACAATAAGCAGATCCCTTTCACAAGTGACTGTCAGACTTCCCCTGCTGCAGTACATCCATGCAAAGGTAGGTAGGCTCCCAAGGCAGTGCAGGTGGCTGCAGCCCTCGCTAGGGCAGAGCCCCAGCAAAGGTGGCTGTGCCTGCAGCGCTGCACACGGGCTTCATGGAGCTCCACTTTGGTCTCTTTCCCGGTAAGCAATGACATTCAAGAGTTTGATTTTTGTTTATTCTGCTGCAACCCCTGTGGTTGTTTACATGAAGGGTATGAAAAAAGCTATCTGACCAGAACAGGGATAAAAAGGGAAAAGCTCTATGCAGCTTCACCTGGACGCACTGACTGCACCTGGCTATGTTCAGGCATGTTTGCTTGCTCTTGAAGCTGTTGATCACCTAATGGTGATCTGATTTTCCTACAGATCATGTGGGATTGGCTGTAAGATACTCTTTAATTCCACCAGGCAGAGAGGGTTTCCAGGTAAATGGCTTATCTGGCCAGGAGCAGCACAAACCAAGGTGCACTACTGCTCCACATGGGTCATTTTGTGGGTCTTGGTTTCCCCTGAGATGTTACTGCTTTGAAACAGAGCTGAGAAAGCAGAGCCAAAATCCTTGTTTAGAACTATGCAGCTTATTTATGTGTGGTGCTTACCCAGGTGGCCCTCACCTGAGCTCCTGGTGAGGATGCATCAAACTGGCCACCAATATGCTCTTGCTTTTCATGGGATAAGGATTAACTCAGCAGGAGCAGGGTAAGAGCAGGGGTGCTCACCTTGGGAAAAGCCACATCGGCAGCTGTGTCCATCATAGCCTGGCGTTACACACCTACCACCCTTCCCTACACTACTGCTATAGGAAGTGTACTCTGCTGGTCAGAGTTTTCCCAAACCTGGGCTGTAAGAAATAAGTTGTTGCTTTGGTGTGTTGTTTTTTTGTTGTTGTTGGGTTTTTTGCTTGTTTGTTGTTTTTGTTTGTTTGTTTGTTTGTTTTTCCCCTGAGTAGAACACTCAAATTACATCCTTGCTCAGAAAGGTGATGATACCTAAAAGGGAAACATGCAATGCAGAGAATACAGCTAATTGCTCTTTGGCAGTTTTCTTTCTTGCAGCACAGTTTTGGGAGGAAAAGGCTGCCCTGAGACTTCCACTGAAAATTTGGCACTGCAGACAGGCACTATCAGGTCAGCCAATATCTCAGCCCTTCCTCTAGCCTGGGAAAAGGAAAATAAGGAAAATGGCATAAATAAACCACTGTCTAATCAGAACCCCTTCCTCTAGACCCTAATCAATTGTTGAAAATCGTGTCAAAACAGTTTTGAGTGGAAAGATAGCTCTGGAATTTACATATTTCATCAAAAATTCTCCCTAATAGTGTTTGGTTCTTTTGTTTTGCTTGGTTTGGTGTTTTGGTGGTTTTTTTTTTTGGGTTTTTTTTTTTTTTTTTTTTTTGTGAAGGAAAGAAAAGATGTCAGAGAAACAAAATGTTTTTCACAAAAGCAGTTGGGACATGTGACTATGGTGTTGGCCGTTTGGAGCTGCATAGCAATGGCTCTTTGTCCACTTTCTCCAAGGACAAGCATCTTCCAGGCATCAGCAATAACCAGATGATGTCCTGCAGAGTCACCTCCTGCCCAAAATTTAGCAAGTGAGAGGTGGGAAAAGAACAAGAATGCAAAGCATCTGAAGCCCTCAGTCACAGACAACCAAATCCCATTCTTCCCCCTAAGCAAAGAGCATATCAAATTGCTCCTCTGAAGCACCATCACCATCCTGAGGAAGGAATTTGGAGAAAGAAGAAAGGAAAGAGATTTTTCACAGCTGTCTGGCTCTGAAACTGACAAGTATTCATGTGTGGAGGAAAGCACCTTTCTCTGTCAGAAGGAAAGAGATGAAAAAGAATGCTTATGAAATATGGAGGGCAGCACTGGGCAGCATCCTGCAGAAGCACTGCTGTCAGGAGCTTCCTGGCCTCAGCTGGAGACACACACATGTTTTCTCATGGAGCTCTCCCCCTGCTCCCCTCTGCCTGAAGTCCGGCTCAGATTTTTGATCTTCTAATGGCAAAACAGAAGATGGAATCTAAAAAAGAGCAAATAAAAAGGACAAAGTAATGGAGAATGATATAAATCCTTGAAACAAAGGAGCAGGATTGGGATGAGAACTTGTACAAACAGCAAATCTTGGAGTCCTGTGCCAAAACAAAAGGCTTTGATCTACAGTCCTCCACTGGTGTCTTACCTAAAAAATAGAGATATTTCAGTAATTCACTTCAGATTACTCCTCCACATGCCACCTACTTCTCCTCCACATTTCTTGGAGTGAGAATCCCACAAAAAAACCAGACACATTTCATGAAAACCTCGGCCAGATGGCCACTAGTGCCTCTACCCTGCTAGGCAGCTTGAGCAGCAGCCTGAGCTTGTGTCTCCTCACCCAGGTCTGTCACACCTTGCCACCCCACAAGCAGACCTGGCCCCTGGGGCTGGCAGGTGGGGAAAGGTTCTGGTTGTTAGCACAGGTGAAATCACCCCAAAGCAGGAGACCCATCGGAGCCCACTGAGCAGCTGCTGCCCCACTACCTATTTGTGGATAGCCACAGGGACCCGGCAGGGCTGAAAAAGCAGGACGAATTGACTCATCACAGAAACATCACACTGCTAGGAACATCCGCAGGATAACACTGCTGGAAACCCAGAGCAGGAAAACAACAGTGCTGCTGGGGATGGAATGCCTGCAGACTGTCCCACCTCCATCCACCTTCCCCACACGCTGGCTGGCTATTGCTAGAGGCCAGGAGAACATTAAAGCAAGGAGAGACAAAGGAGCAGGGAGTCTCTAGGGCAGGGAACAGAGATGTTACCCTGAGTGGATCTGTTGGCAGATGCTACATTATGCATACAGGGACACGGCTAACCCGGAAGGTAAATCGGGCAATTGGAGCGAGCTTTGAATGCACACCCAACAAAGGGAAACTCGATTAAATTTTAAAGGCAGCACACTTGGAAATGGCAGGACTAAGTGGCATTTAAAGGTGGCGACTGTTGCCAAGTTATTTTGAGCAAACAGGAGGCTATTCCATGCATCTGTCTGAACGTGCCAACAATTAATTTAGTAATCAGCATGTTCTGAAGGGACAACTTGAGAGGGTGACAAGCAGGGCTAGGCCCTCAATCAGTGTAAATTCACCATGGCTCTCTGTGTTGCAGCCAGCCCCACGCTAGCAGAGGGTTTGGCTGAAAGCCCCTCAGGAGGGACACGCTGGGGGAGGTGACTTCTCTTACATAAGGACGGTGATGTGCCTCACACACGTGCAGATGGTGATGCTTCTCATACCACCCACAGCACAGATGGACTGTCAGTCATCACATTGAAAGCCATTCCAAGAGTGTGCCTCTCCCAAGTCCAGCAAGGGAAAATTAAGTGTTCTTTTATCCACTAAACCAATCTTACCTTACACCAGCATAGACACCAGAAGAAAAATACTATAGAAATAAGTCTGCTATTTATACAGCTCAGCAGAAGAGATACAGTAATAAAGACGCTGAAGTCACTGTTTTGTTCAATGTAAATTAAATGATGGTGTGTTTATAGAGTTCCTTTCACCCAGGGATCCCAGAGAGCAACAACCTCCTTGCTGTGGACTTGGACCAACTCCTGCCCTAAGGAGGCTAAAGGTTTGTGTCAGGGCCCTTGTCAGTCAACCTACACCAAATGTGCCTCTGCCTCGGAGCCATCTACACCAACAGCCTACAGGGTGTTGAAATTAATAATATCCCAAGTGTCTTCACTTAATTTGGGTCCTGTGAGGTGTTGGTGTCTTGGAACAAGCAACATTCACAGATCCCAGAGCACTGGACATGCCCTAAGAGATGGTGGTAAAAAAGTGGCTCAAAATGGAAAGAAGAATAAAAAGTTTAAAAATCAGCAGACAGCTTTAACAAATAATCCTCTTGTACATTTACTTTGAGTAATGTATTTAGCTCTTAGAGATTGAGGTGGTAAAGCCAAAAAAGGTACTTTGCAAAGTCCCAAGTTACTCCTCTTAAGAGTTATAATTTCCTTAAGAAAGGATCTGTCAAAAAAGAATCAGGAGAGGGGAGAGGAAGGAGACAGAAACATCTCAATTTGAACTCTGCAGACCCAAGTATTTTGATTAACTCTCTCCAGTCACCTTCTGAAGCTGTAAAACCCACCCTGGGTGACCAACCTGGGCTGCAACCAGCCGATCACTGCCTGCCCCTACCACCATGGAGGCATTACCATCAGCCTGCAGTTCCTGCTCCAGCACCTCGTGGGTCCAAGTCCTCCATTCAGTTGCTCTTCATCCTCATACACGTCAGTAAGAGCCCTCCCACAGCCGCTGGCTGGTGCTTGCACTTGGGCTATTTAGAAGGAGATATGAGACTGCAGCCAGAGGGAATCCTCCTGGATGATCCATCTCTGCAAGCACGGACAAGGCCAGCAGCAGTGAGTTCAAGACTAGCATCTTGCACTGCTCCCAAAGGGTTCTGGATCTAGTCCCAGCTACTTCTCTTCTTCCAGGACAGCATGGTCAGACAGCACTGGAAAGCATAATGTATTCCCTTTGGGAGCAGAACCAAATGATGCAGCAATAGAAACTCCCAAGTCTTTTGCACAAAGCAACTTGTCAATGGGAGCCCCACAAGCTCACCCAATGAAAAAAAAGACTAATCCATTTCCAGTCCTGCCTTCCTGAACATGAGAGATGCAGCCTCAGCCCTCTGCACAGAGAATCTGCATTAACTATAGGACAGAACTTTAAATAAAGCCAGGCAAACATTCCTTCTGATCCATCAAGAAGTGGCATTGACAAAGAGGAAGGCAAACGAAGAGCCCATGGGACACAGGAGGTCTGGGCCTGAGAAATGCAATGGGCCTGCAAAGCACTGATGGCAAAGTTTTTAAAATAAAAAAAAATTACTGTGGAAAGATGCCAGCACTCCAAAGCAGTTCTTGAGGTAGTATAAATCACCATAACATTACTGTGCCTAATTTATGACAGCTACAGGCGGCACCAGGGACTCTCACTGCTGTGTGCTCTGGCAGAAGAGAAATTCAGGTATAGCAGTGAGGTGCCAGCACAGACACTTTTACACTGGGCGGGTGTTGGGAGGCAAATGGCAACATCACCAGCACAACTTCAGTGTTCAGCTGTCTGAGAATTTGAAAAGGAAAAAGCCTTTTTTTTTCTTTTTCCACCTCATAAACTACTCATAGCACTGATGAGGAAGACAGAACCTGAGTGCACATTTTTGGAAAGCACATTTGATTATCTTCTGGAAAAAATTAGTCTCTCTCTGAACATGAGACTGTTTCATGCCAGAGTAAAGAGCACAGAAACCCACATATATGATACTTCATTGCTCTGTAGCCAATTTTGTTGATTAGTCATTAGGATATGAGAAGAAAATAGTTAATGTGCTGTAACCAATCTGCAAATGTTATAAAATCTGCAATCATATGGAACTAATTTTAAGTGAAATGGGATGATCTACAAATTACAGGCATAGGATTACTACAAAAGGCATGGAGAAAAGCAGGCAGGAAGGCAACAAGCAGATCAATATCCTGCTGAGGATGAACAATGGTTAGGAGAACAAGGCAGCTCACACACTCAAAGAAAATTATTTTTGAGAACTGATACAAAATGAATGCTGACTAAATTTAAGATGTCTGAAGACTCATTCACTACCAAATAGGGTACCAACAATACCACCTTTGCAAGAGTCAGCAGGACAGCCACTAGCCAGCAGGATGGCTTGGCCTTCAGCTTGAATGGATGTGGGGATGCGGGACTGCTGCTAAACCCTTTTGTGAGTGGGAGCTCATCAGCCATCAAATTCCTGGGGAGCTACAGGTCCTGGAGGCTTCCCTGAACATCTTGCTTTCACTGCCATCCTTTAGGAAATTTTTCTCA